ATTGCCGCTTCTTTTACAAAATCTGGACCATCAAAGTTGGGGAACCCTTGGCCGAGGTTTATTGCTCCATGCTTGATTGCAAGCATACTCATCTGAGTAAAAATTGTAGTTTTAAACTTTTCCAGTCGCTTTGCAACCTGAGAAAACATAATAGGTTACCAGACAGAATAAATACATGCATGCATATACACATACATATCTGGGATTCAACGAGAGGACCACTGCTTTATATTATAAATCGTATAACCAAAGAATATAACATTGCTCGAGCATATCTATGTGTGCACAAACATAAGGAGCCATACGCATAAAACTACACTCACTCAAACTCAATAAAATCCGGAATCCCTAAATCAAACGATGATAAATTGAAGCCAGGAAACAGTTGTATTCCCTATGTTTTACCATATTAGGGTCTAACTTGGCACTTCCGTTGGGGAAAAAGCTTGAGCTAAAATAGTTCAGGTTGGAAAAACGTTTTCAAAAAGTACGATGAAAATATATGTTTAAGAACTTTTAAACATCAACCATTGTGGTGAAGCAAAGTGCGAATTTGAATGTCAAAAAAGATTGATTTAAAGAAAAAAGTTTCAAGATATGAGAGAAAAATAAAGTCATCTTATGCAAAATCAGCTCTGAGAACCCAAAGGGACTTTTCTGTTTGAATTGCTAAACCATGATTTCAATCAGAAAAGCCAAAATTTTCTATCCATTAAGTATTTCATTAGCATTGAACCGTAGCTTTCAAGCCAAAAAGCTGTGCCACCTGCAGTGCTAAATGGGACTTAATAGGTGTGTGCATCATAAATTAAAACTTCCATAGATTCAAGATGCTAAACCTAAAAAAGCCATTGCAACAACAATCTCATTTTCTACTAAATTTCAGAAATTAAATCTTTACAATCGGCATTTCCATGTGAGACTGCAAGAACAGCATGATATAGTTCTTCAATTTGTTATACACCTAACCATTTCCTGGAAACCATGAGAAAAAATCTCATGTAATTCAATCAATTTGAAAAGTTTAGAAGATCCAAAGCAAGAAATTTGGATACTCTCTACATGAACTTCATTATAAAAACTAAACAACAACATGCCAAACCAGCAGAGAAAAAAAATCTCACAATAAAACAAACAAACTAGGGTCCAAATTAAGATCAACTGAAACAAATCACATGATACAAAAAACTGAAACACCAGAAAACAATAAATGAAAAGACTCAGAAAAAAGCCCCTCAATCACCAGAGATCAAATCAACAAAGAAACGTGTCACCTGAAGTGGTGGCTGGGTGATTTGGGGAGACCCACCGGGAGTAGAAACAGGGTCTTTCTGGGTGGAAACGGAAGACATGGTGGCTATGAACGACGGGTAATTGTTGGTTCTCCTGTTATATCTGAATAAAGGAGAATCAGAATAAGCCATTTGAAAATGCTTTGAGAAATTAGAGATTACTGTTGTTTATGTTGGGGATTTAAAGCAAAGTGGTCTAAGCATCTCGAATTGTCACCGGATACACTCAGCAACCTGCATCAAAGATTAGGTGGACTTTTCTGGATTATTTTGAATTTGACTGACCCTTTTCGCTTATGAAAGTTTGGAGTAATAGGAGAAAGCTTGAATCAGTTTTTTAAGCGAAATCATGAGACATGAAAAAAATTAAGAAAAATGCAGATAAAATAATTGTTGACGGTATGAATAGGGGCTTTTTTACCAAAAATATCATTCATGACGAGTAATTATTATCCGTCAGGTACGTTTCCGTAAACTTTTATCGATCTATTATTTTTTCTGACAAGATATACATTATTATTAGTGTCTTTTCGGGATTTCATCCGAATTGGCTCCACATCATGAAAGGCGCGAATCGTCATTTACGTTTTTTTTGAGATTTATGACACGCGCATTAAGGCGCGGATTCCATTTAATTTCCAACAGTTCCCACCTTCCATATTAATTATCACATTCGGCCAAACCCCTCTCATCTCCCTATAAATACTCTCCCTTCTTCATTCAAACACACACCAATTTCTCAAATCCTCTCAAAGCCCAAATTTTCTTAAAGCTCAAACCCGGTCAAATTCTATTAGGAAGGTAAAATATTTTACTATATTATAATAAATTAATAATTTATTATTTAATTAAATTGTATTATATTAACTTTTTATTATTTTTTGTAGTTATAAAATGGAAGGCGGTCTGCTACGTTTAGATAAACATTATATCTCAAGTCATTTTGATGATACGGTAACAATTTTAAATCCTATTTTAATTTTAATTATTGTTAATATTTTATTTATTTAATTTGTTTAGTATTATTTTATATTTTAATTTCTATAATATTTATTAAATTAGGAGAGTGACCGTACATTAGATCCCTTTATTCGTAATCTTATGTTAGAGATATCAACCCGTGTATGGACGTATTTAGTCGAGGCTGGATTCGGTTACGTAGCAAGATACGAAGGGCATTGTAACCTAGAATCCAACATGATTTTTGCATTGGTCAAGCGGTGGAGATAAGAGACACACACATTTCATCTTCGGTGCGGAGAGTGCACAATTATGTTGGAGGATGTTTTCATGCATTTAGGGCTTCCGATATATGGAGATGTGCTTTTTGGAGTGGCGCAAGGTGACTGACATTCATTGTGCGAGGAGTATCTTGGGGGTGTCCCGCCTAATTTCAAAGGTGGTAGAATTCCGTTAAATTGGTTGGATGCAACTTTCAAGTATTTGAGTCGTGACGCCTCAGAGGAGCAGGTTAAAATGTATGTGCGAGCTTGCATACTACAGCTCATAGGAGGGCTCCTTATGCCGGACAAATCGCACAACCAAGTTCACTGTATGTGTTGCATCACCTCGCCGATTTTCATCAGACTGGCACGTTGAGTTGAGGCTCGACAGTTTTGGCATTTCTCTATAAGGAATGTGTCGAGCTATTGACTATAGAAAAAATGCTATTGGCGGATGTCTTCTTCTACTCCAGTCTTGGGCGTGGTATCGCTTGCCCTTTTTATGTCTGATGGTAAAAACCCGTTGGTCGTCTCGCTATTATTGAGGTAATTAAAATACTGATTTCGTATATTAATAATTTTATTTAGTATATAATAAAAATTATTTCATTGAATATGTGGTCAACTGCAAGGAAAGATCATCGGGATTTACCTGATGAATTAGAAGAAATTAGGTTACTCATTGATCAGAATGCTGGCACAGAGGTATCTATTTAAATAACAAAATGTACTTTTAATTATCGTTATATAATTAGATTATTATTTTGATAAGAATTGTATATTTTTTTAAGTTTGAATGGGCTCCTTATTGTACTAAAGAGATAAGGATTTGCATCCCACACGACTTAAGAGGCTTATTAGATGTATGGATGATTGTGGTCCCTCTGATATGTTATGCGATTGTCGAGTGGCATCCCACTGATTGTATGCTCCGGCAATTTGGTTTTGTACAATCTATTTTGAAAGCACCTAAAAATCTCAACGATTTGCATATCATCGATCGACGCGGCAAAAAAGAAGTCGACTAGCTGTTGAAGCACTATGAATGGGTAATGATATGAGAGGATCGACATGGGCACATTCCCGGTACAAAACCCATTTTTGTGGACCATTTAACAGTTGCAGATAGTTATTATGAGTAGTTCAACAAGAACGAGAAACCGTTATTACTTTCCGAGGAAGCACGAGACGGGAGCATTCATCGACGTCGACAAAGACGTCCACTGTCACAACATCATCGTCCCCTGACTCATGGATGGAGAGCAGGCACTTCTGGCTCGTCCTCAGCTACAACACCAGAACATTCACAACAGCCACCGTCTACACCGCTGTACATTCCGCAGCCATTTCAGGTGGTACCACGACCATATGATATGGCACTGCAACCATTTCATATGCTAGTACAGCCAAGTCAGACGCCACCATTTCCATACCATATGTCGTCATCACCGTAGAGTTATATGAACCCTACTGGCGTATATTATAGTTTCATGTTTGTATATCCAACTTAAGGTTCATATGCTGGTTATTTGACAGTCCAACTTAAGGTGCTTTTTAATTTTTTTGTATCATTTTCTTGTTTAATTAATCGGTGATGTTCAAATGACATTAACTAAAAGTAAATGAAAATTAAATTACAGAAACTTAGATTTCATAAACAATAACTACATCAAGCATAACATCAAAGGTTATTTGATGAAAAAAGATATGGACATTTTTTCCTAGTGTGTAATAGGTTTCTACAATGCGCACATCTTTTGTTTTCTCTAGACGTTTCTCGAATATCCATATCACAATGAATTTGGGTGGATTTTGGAAGAACGGGCTCCCTCAATAAGGACAGATCTGGTACAATCAGAAGCCAATTCTGAACCTCTTTAGTGTCTTTCTCATTACCTATGGGGGAACTCAAATTCATATATCTTAAACACTTTTGAAAGTAGGTATACGAGATCCACAAAATGGTTACAGTCTTGATGGGTATGTGAGGAAGCTGCTATGACATGAGAGCATGGATACATCAGAGCTTGAAAAAACCCCACAGTCGCATCATTTGTCTCGTAGATCAACTCTGAACAAGTTAGCTTGAATCCCTTGAAAAGGTTGCGGGATCTCTGTGACACAAAATAATTCATGGGTTCTAGAGAAGCTTGTTACAGACATTCCATTTGATGCAACAATTCTTTTTTGTTCTGTAACTAATCTAGGGTGATAGACATGACCATTTTCCATCCAAGTTTGATATTGTCCCCCGAGCTTGGCGAAAAGTGCTCCCAAACGAAAATATATCGTTTTTACCAAACTCGTTACTGGTAAATGACGTGCCCCCTTTAAGGTCGAATTAATAGCCTCAAGCAAGTTGGTCGTCATGTGTCCATATCGATATCCACCATCATATGCATTTGTCCATATTTCTTAATTAATGAGGTTGATGTAATCGTATCCTTCCTCGTTGTTTCCTCGCAACTCTTGAAGCATGGACTCAAATGTTTGAGGTAGTAATTCATAACCTGAGCATTAAATATAGAACTTACTAACTTTGTTTCCATAAAAAAAATGAAAATTGAGAAATAAAAAATTTTGACATACTCATGCGCACAAGTAATTGGTGCTCATCATTCTTCTTGAACATTCCATGATAGTTTGCTACAATGTGTTGGATACAATATCGATGTTGGACATATGGTGGTTGCCACATTGGACCCAAAGAATCCATTGTTGTTTTGATTCCAACTCCGCGATCTGAAATGACAAGGATTTTTACCTCGTGATAACATGTAAGTGTAAGTTTATAAGGATAAAAGCCCAAGAATATGTATCTTCTCCTTCAAAAAGGGCAAAAGCAACTGGAAGTATGTTGCGATTACCATCTTGGACAACTTTCAATAGTAAAACTTTCTTGTATTTTCCATACAAGAATGTCCCGTTGATTTGGACCACGAGCTTGCAGTATTTCACAACATTAATGCACTGTGGGTAAGTCTAAAAAAGCTGGTAGAATTGGCATCGATTGCGAAGCACTCGATCATTGTGGTATGCATAGAAAGTTTTGAAGTCGATAATTGTCCCAGGATTCAATCTATGCACCACCCTAAATCAACTTGTTAGTTCGTTGTAAGATGCATCCCATTCGCTGTGAAGTTTTTTAATGGCATTCTATTTTGCCTTCGATACTTTCCTGTATGAGACATTATACCCATAATGCGATTGTATAGCTGAAATTACCACATCAATAGTTATATGAGAGTTTCCTTTTACCATGGGCATGATGACTTGGCATATAATGTCGGAGTCCAAGTTGGGATGATCCTGGTTGATCCCTCCAGTAAAACATATGTGAGGAATATTGTATATCATTAGTTCCCCTATATTGTTTTTCCTCTTCCTCTTCGATACGCGAACTATCCAATTGCATCTGTTATCACATTGGAAACAGTGGTATACATACGTTTTAGTGGTAGACATACTTTTCGGTGGTAGAGCGTTGACTCTAGACTAAACAAAATTACAAATATTATAATTCTTAATTGCTATCATCGCTTATTCTTTGTATGAAAACTCTATTCCTTTATATAATTCACCATTATTAACTGATGAGTTAAATCCATAGTCACCGACATTAGGCATATCCGCAAATTCTGGCCCATACATTGCACCATAGTCATCTTCATACATATGTGTTGGAGGTTTAGTGTGTACCGTATTTGTGAGAACTTTATCTACATCATCATCATCGGAGTATATGTTGAACTGCGGTGATTTTGGCTGAACGAATAGTCTAGTCTCAGCACCATTAGTACCTGGCTCACGAAGAGGTTCTTCTGGTGGAGATGAGGGTTCCTCCACGCTATCGACATTTAGGTCAAACAAGCTGGTAGTTGCATGTCTTCCCCTTGAACATGAAGGCATCTCAACATTGAGGTTGAAAAAGATCGCAGTTGAATGCCTCCCCCTAGAGCTTGAAGGCATCGTGTCAAATGGGTACTTCACAGATTGTTGTGTTAGGGACATCTCCATATTCAGGTCAAAGAATTTGGCAGATGAATGCCTTCCCCTTGAACTGGACTCAATGTTGCCATACGAATTGTTTGTGGAGCCACCTCAGTACAGATCGTAAGAAGTTGCTGATGAATGTATCCCCATTGAACTTGATGGGATGGCACCATGATGTGTATTTCCCATTAACGAGTTAAAATCATTACATATTACTTGAGTTGGGTTGTCAACTTGATCAGCTTGTATGAAAATCATTACACACTTTAACAAATTTCGCATACATCTCTGTATCGGCGTCTGAATAATGATTTTGAGAATCAACCATCATATCAACATTGTCATTGTTGGATAGTTCAAACGCTGTATAAGTTAACGGAAATATTACAGTTGGAAATTTGTACTGAAGTGATGACAGTCTTCTAGTACTTTCAACATGAACATTCCTTGAAATCTTCGTTATCATCTCCTCAAGAGTTATGTTTCTCTTTAAGGATATTTTGACAGAATGATTTGATGCGAACACGACGTCGGTTTCATCTTCCTGAATTTCTCCATTATAGTAAACAATAGTTGAAATATGTGTCATTCTGAGAGTTTGAAAGATTGAGTCTTATATCTACAAAAACAATAGCTGAAATATGGCTAATTAAATAAATAATATATGAATTAAAATATAACCTAATAAAAAAAGTAAAAAAGTTTCACAATAATTTAAATAATATAATTTTATATTGTTACCGTATCGGCAAAAATGTCTCGACGTATGATCTCACTTTCCAATTTACAACTGTAAAAAATAATAAAAATAATTAGTACAATATTTTTTTCTTCAAATAATCATATATAAAATAAATATAATATAATAAAAAATTACATTGCAACAAAAAATCGAAGGAATTGGTGAAACAAATATAGAAAGAATTGATGTGGAGATGTTTACTGTTGAAGGGTGTATTTATAGCAGGGAGAGTTTAAAGGCCGAGATATTCATAACCAATAATGAAAGGCGCGGATGGTTATACGCGCCTTACTGGCGTGTGTCAGATACCCCAGAAAGGCGCTGATGACGATCCACGTCAGAAAGGGTGCTAGATCGATAAAATTTGACGAAATGATGTCTGACTGATGTCTGACAGGTAATTATTTACTGTCAGGGTAATTTTTTGATAAAATCATCATGAATAGAACATAGTATAAGAATAATAATAATAATACGAAAAAAATATTTGTTTTATAAATATCATTCTTAAAATTGTATTTCTAAAAATAACTTTCATTTTAAGTTATTTATAAATTTAACTCCAAATTAATAATTAATTATTTTAATAAAATAAATATCAATTTTTTTACTTATGTACATAAAAAATTATAAATAAATTAAATTAAATCAAAAAATATTTTTATAATAAATATATAATATTTGATTTAAATTCATTTTTATTTTTCATTTGATGAAATTTGCAAGAAAAGATATAGGAACAATATTGTAATTCTCATTGATGAACTTAGAATACACTATGCTATATTTGTAGCACGTGTACAAGAGCAATTAACGTAACAAACTTGGCTAACAAAATAGCTACCCATCTAACAAACAACCACCTTAGGGCCACAACATCAGCTAACCTATTACTTTTTCCTTTACTTAACGAGTATGAACACACACCTTGTCTCGAAATATCTCAAACGCAACCTTAATCAATAGTTTGATCAATCCATCGCTAATGCTTAGCAGGCACATAACGGACTTGAAACTAATCAGTTGTAATTTTTTCTCTCGAACTAAATGAACATATATATGACATGCTTAGTGTGAACATGATACACTAGATTTTCACCAAGAGCCACAATACTAGTGTTATCACACCAGACAACTAGAACTTCTCGTGCACATCACAAGTAATATAGAACAGTTTAATAAACTAAGAAAGTATCAGACTAATAATCATTTGCATAACGTTTTAGATAAATTACAAGTGAGATAGCCGCTAGTGAGGGGATGACATCACTTTAGTGTGTCGAGTTATGTTAGTGTGTAGCTTAGATCACAGTATAAAATGTAACGCCCTAGACCCAACCTATGCGTTTCGACCAAGTCTAGTGAATTACATTAAAAAATTTAAAACATTTTTTTACTTTCAAAAAACCATTATTCGATAATTTAAAACCAAATCACAATTGAAATTTATAAAAGTATAATAAATAAAGATAAAAGTTTAACTCGTAAATATAAAACTAAAAACGATTAAATAAAACAAAACATGTCATAAACCTGAAGTACAGTAAACCAAGTATCATTAGCAAAATCCATAAACATCATCATCATAAAATAAGTACGTCAAAATAAAGGCCCATGTCACATAATTAAAAGCAGTTCTGAAGATAGAAACATTACAACAAAAAGTTCTTCTATAATGTGTTGATCTTCCGAGTGCCTGAATCGGTGTCTATCCACAAATATCTGAAAGGGGGAAAACAGTTTGAAAAGTGAGCTAGGGCTCAGTGTGTCCCAATATTGAAATAAAAACATAATATGAAAAACCATCAAGTAATAGTCCAGTAAAGTATCATGGAAATCCTGGTAAAATATAAGATATTAAATCACATAGTATACCCTCCTCCCTTACACCATATATAGTTCCCCAGAACTGCGTCCATAGGGTAACCTTATACCTATTGGGTATAAGGAGCCAACCTAAGGGGACATCTTATGGCCTGAAAGCCTACCCAATATTCGCCTTAGGTCCGTAAGGATTTACCAGCTTGATTAGGGTTGTACCTCCATACTATAGCCTACCCATATAATATCCCCATAAAATAATTCACATAACAAGCAACGATTTCCATGATCCGTATTCGGTGAAATAATATCTTCCAATGAAAACAATCATTCAAATATCACGCATCATTCCATCATTTAGCATGAACCATCATCCATTGAATCATAAATTTCAGTGAAATATATATATATATATATATATCAAATTAGATAAAACCATCGAGTAGGACATAGGGAACACACATCGTAAAATAGGGTACACAGTAAAACTACTGAGCACCGGCCTCGTCACGCTCTGCTATAGTGCTCGAACCTAATTCATAACAATCAGAGTTAATATCGAAGTAATATTTTAAATCGGGGTATTAAAAAGGTCACAGTTCACACAAGTGACTATCGGCTCCCGTGGCCTAACGGATCAAGAAGAGTTGGGTCGAGCTGGCGAGCGATCGTATAAGTCTTTAATACCTTCAAACAATAACAATTAATCAGTCCCAAGTCTTACTTTAATTTTTTCAAAATTAAAACATTTAATTACTTAAGCATATTTGGGTTTGATGGTCAATTTGGAGGCTTTCGGGTTAGAATTTAGAAAAATGAACTTCAAAATCGGGTTCAGAACGTCGAAAAATATAAAATAGGGCTTTTAAAAAATTGTGACTATTTTTTTCAAAGTCAATGGTCAACGATCTGATCGGTCAACAGTTAACTCTGACCAAAGTCAATGGTTTGGTTAAGTCAACGAGTCAAGTAAGTCTACGAGTCGGGCAAACGGGTCGGTTCTGCCTGAATCGATTTCCAAAATTTTCCTGGACCGGCCGGAGACCCCCATAAGCACTGTCGGCGCGTGCGCGATGGCGTCCGGACCAATTTCATCGGCCTATCATTCCCGGTTCAAAATTAAGCTCAAATACATCTAAACCAAACCAATATTACATCAAGAAACCAATCTAATTTACCAAAAACCGATTTGTAACTTACCCACACCGGCGATCTGCGATGGCATGTCACCAGTGAACAAAACCGGTCGGGTTTTGATCGCACGACACCAGTGAGTGCAATGGAGGCGGCGTTGAAGAGAAACAACACCGGATGTGGCCGGAATCGACGAAAAAGGTGGTGATCGAGGGGATTTTCGTTGATTTTTCACCGGCTTAACCACGGCGAACGGTGTCGTTTCTCGATGAAATTGGGATTGGGTTTTTATCATCGTTCGACGGCGAGCAAGTTGGTGGTCGTGGCTCGGGCTGGGGTGGGGTGGCTGGACGGCGGCATAATTGACCGATAAAGTGACCGTCGGGAGGGCGTTTAATTTAGGGAAAAAATTAGGGATTTGGGATTTTAGGGGAAATGGTTTTACCCAATCGGTAATTATATTTTACTGGGTAATAAAAATGCCAAATACTTGTTTAGTGCCTAAACTTTTTGAAACTTCTAAAATGGTCTGGTAACTTTACCTTTTTACAATCTAGCCCCTAAAATTTACCCAAATTAATCTTTTATTTAATTTCTAATTTTTCCTAAAAATTTGGGTTGTGACAATTCTCCCCCTCTAAAAGAAATTTCATCCTCGAAATTTACTAGCGTAAACAGATACATAAACTAAGTGTATATGGATTCTTCTGTCTCCCAGGTGGCATCTGCAGGACCTCTGTTATTCCACTGGACCTTTACCATGGGAATACGCTTGTTCCTTAGCACCGTCTCATCTCAATTCAAGATCTGAACAGGCTCCTCATCATATGATAGATCTGGTCTCAACTCAATATCCTCTAACTGAATGATGTGGCTTCGGTCCAGGTGATAGAGCCTTAACATCGACACATGAAAGACATCATGAATATGACTCAGCTGGGGAGGCAAGTCGAGCTGGTATGCAACAGGTCCTACTCTCTTCAAGATACAAAATGGTCCAATAAATCTTGGACTCAATTTACCCTTGCTCTCGAATCGTAGTACTTTCTTCCAGGGGATACTTTTAAAAAGACCTGATCTCCAACCTCAAATTGGATATCTTTCCTCCTCTGATCAGCATAAGACTTCTGTCTGTCAAATGCTTCCTTCAGGCGGTCATATATCAATCTGAATGTGTCCTCCGTCTCATACACTAACTCAGGTCCCAAAGTCTTTCGATCACGTAACTCAACACAACAGATCGGGCTGCAACATCTACGCCCATAGAGTGCTTCGTACGGTGCCATACGAATGCTAGCCTGGTAGCTATTATTGTAAGCAAACTTAGCCAAAGGCAAAAAGTTCTCCCAACTACCATTAAAATCAATCAAGCAGCCCTGCAACATATCCTCCAGAACTAGAATCACTCGCTCAGATTGACCATCAGACTGTGGATGGAAAGTTGTACTAAAATCCAATCTCGTACCTAGAGCCATATGTAGTGTCGTCCAGAATCTCGAAGTGAATCTTGTATCTCGATAAAAAATGATAGATAACGAGACACCATACAATATGACGATCTCTGAAATATACAATCTAGCTAGCTTGTCCAACGTATAATTTACCCGCACAGGAATGAAGTGAGCCGACTTTGTAAGCCTATCAACTATCACCCATACCGAATCCTTTTTGAAGGGGTCAAAGGTAACCCAGTAACGAAATCCATAGTAATACACTCTCATTTCCACTCTGGAATCTTGATAGGTTGTAAAAATCCGATGGATGCTGGTGCTTGGCCTTAACTTGCTGACAAGTCAAACATCTAGCCACAAAGTCAGAGATGTCCTTCTTCATACCGATCTAATGATACCTCTCTCTCAGATTCTGATACATCTTATCTTCACTGGGGTGCATAACATAAGGACTACTGTGAGACTCACTAAGAATAGTTTGTCTCAATTCTGCATCTTCAGGCACACAATATCGACTTTTGAAGCATAACACTTCATCCTGGTTAAAAGTATAATTTGAGGTCGTCCCCTACTCCACTTGCTCAAAGATTGGAAGTAAGGAGCTATCAAGAGATTGCTTAACCTTGATCTCTTCAGCCAAGGTCGGCTTAACCTGTAATTCTGCTAACATAGTGTCATATCAAATAAATTCTTCATGACCATTAAGGACCTCAAATCAACTATCACATTCTGACTCAAACCATCTACAACGATGTTAGCTTTACTCGGGTGATAATCAATCACACAATCATAATCTTTCAGAAGCTCTAACCAACGACGCTGCCTTAGTTTAAGCTCCTTCTGGGTCAGAAGATACTTTAAGCTCTTATGATCCGTAAAAATGTAACGCCTCTCTCCATAGAGATAGTGTCTCCAGATCTTTAAAGCAAAGATCACTACTGCTAATTCCAAATCATGGGTCGGTTAATTACACTCATGCGGGTGAAGCTGACGGGATGCATAAGCTACTAGCTTACCCTCTTGCATCAGAACATAGCCAAGTTTGGAGTGTGAAGCGTCACTATACACTGTAAAACCCTTCCTAGGCTCAGGTTGATTTAACATTGGAGCTTGAGTCAAAACCGTCTTTAATTTCTCAAAACTCTCCTATTGTGCTTTGCCCCATTCTAATAGGACATTCTTTCTCAATAACTTCGTCAAAGGAGTAGCAATGATAGAGAAACCCTTGACAAAGCGTCGATAATATCCTGCTAAACCCAAGAAACTAAGAATTTCAAAGACATTATTGGGTCACTTCCAACTCAGAATAGCCTCAATCTTGCTCAGATCGACCTGAATACCCCTATTAGAAATAATATGCCCAAGGAATGATATCTCCCGAAGCCAAAATTCACACTTGCTCAGATTAACATACAAGCGATGCTCTCTCAGAGTCTGTAAAACAATCTTCAAATGCTCATCATGCTCTACCTCAGTCTGGGAATAGACCAAAATATCATCAATGAATACTACTACAAACTAATCCAAATATGGTCGAAACACAAAATTTATTAGGTCCATAAAAGCTGCGGGAGCATTCTTCAGACCAAAAGGCATCACCAAGAACTCATAATGCCCATATCTAGTGCGAATGGTAGTCTTCACAACATCTGAACCTTTAACTTTTAACTGATAGTAACCCGAGCGAAGATCAATCTTAGAAAATACCATAGCTCCTCACAATTGATCGAATAAGTCATCAATCTTGGGTAGTGGGTACTTTTTCTTAAATGTCAACTTGTTCAATTTCTGGTAATCAATGCATAGCCTCAGCGATCCATCCTTTTTTTCACAAACAAAACTGGAGCTCCCAGGGTGAGGTAATATATCTGATAAAACCTCGATCGAGTAATTCTTGCAACTGCACCTTCAACTCCTTAAGTTTCTTTGGAGCCCTATGATAGGGTGCCATGGAAACAGGTGCAGATCCGAGATAAGTCTCAATCTCGAACTCTACCACTTTATCAGGAGGTAACCCTGGCAAATACTCTGAAAAGATATCGGGAAACTCGCTAACTATATGAAACTCCTCAATCTTGGACAATAAACCTTTAGTGTTCAAAATACAAGCAATGAAAGTCTCTTATCCCTTCCGGACCATTCGATCAGTAACCATAGAGATAGTCGCGACGTTCACCAATTAATACAACAGTCCGACCATTAGAAGTCTTCAGAGTAGCTCTCTTGTACTCACAATCCAAATTGACCTTATGTTTATTCAACCAATCCATCCCTAGAATTAAATCGAACTCCTTTAAAGGAAGATCTATAAGGTCGGCAAGAAAAATTTCACCCTGAACCTCCAGATGACAACGATGAAATACCTTATTCACCACCACTAACTGTCCTAATGGAGTCATAATTGTAACAGTATTATCGGTGTCCTCAATCAAAATCTAAAGGTTTCGAGATGTTGAACTCGATACATAGGAGTGGGTGGAGCCATTGTCTAGTAATCCAAAATATGGAACAAAATAAATGGTAAATGTACCTGCAATAACCTCTGGCTTATCCCTGTCATCCTAACATCTGGTAGCATACACTAGAGCTGGTTGTATAGCCTCGGAAACTACGGGCTCTCGGCTCTACTGGGGTCAGGCTCTACTATCTGCCCTGGATGCTGATCCGGAAGGCTTTCCCCAACTACAACCTCTGGCTGGGGTCTGAACTGATGTCTGTTAACGTGTAGGAGTCTGGGTAGCTGTCCACTAAGATGAAGCTAGCTGTAGACATTCCCTCCGGGAATGACCACTGGATCCACAATGGTAGCAGACACCCATCTTCCTACGATACTCTCCTCCGTGTCGATTACCACAATAATCACAAAGGGGCACCTAAGGCAACCCTGAAGAACCATCTCGACTAACAGCTGGGGATGGAGATACTGTAGGCCTGGAACGGGTATTGCTCTTCTGAGGTACTGAAGTACGAGTCCTCTTTCCTAACTTTGCAGAAGACTCAGTAGGGCCGGAAGACTTCTTTGGTCGCTCTTGATCAACACAATCTCTATCAGGAACTAAGGCCTCCACCTCCTCAGCATCTTTCGCTCTGCTCACCAGCGCATCAAATATATCATCTTGATGGGTCACAATATGCCTACGCAACTCATATTTGAGTCCAAGAGCAAACTTGTGGCATCTATCTCTATCAGTGGGAGCCATATTAATACCATATTTTAACAGTTTCAAGAATTCCATCTTGTACTCGGAGACTGACATATCACCCTGCACTAATTCTTGGAACTGCTGTCAGCTCTCAACCAGATAACGCTCTCCCAGAAAATGCTTCCTAAAGCACTCTTTGAAGAACTCACAAGTCAAACGATCAGCTGGATTGCGTCCAAACCCAACTGATCCATATGTATTTCCGTATCATAGAGCCAATCTTTAGCTTCAGTAAGAGCTCCTCCAATCAGACCTCCAAAAGTCCTGACCCCATTAGCAATAAAAGTCTAAGAAATCATAACATCAGGGATGATACCAGCAGCTTTAACCACATCCTGAATCAATTATAGAAACTGTCTGCCGATAGTCTCATCAAACACCACTCTCGTAGGTTCAGAACTAGAATTCGGAGCTCCTCTGATAGGAGTTGACATATCTATCTCTGGAGCAGGTGGTAGGTTTATAACAGTGTAATCAATAGGGTCAGTAAATCTAGCAGCTCAACCTCGCCCACAGCTAGGCTGACGACCTCATCTGTACTCATCGACAAGGATCTATAATTCTCTACAATAGGTAGACTTAAGGTTAGATTGGCACTGGAGTAATGGACACATTTAACTTGTAAAAAATACAGGTGACATGACCTTACATAAACTTTGTAAAATGTTTTCAAAACATTTTAAAGTTTTATGTGGCACCCATTTACAGTTTGATGTTTAAAAACAAAATGCTATGATACCAATAAAATGTAACCCCTAGACCCAGCCTATGCGTTTCGACTAAGTGTAGTGAATTACATTAAAAATTCTTAAAACATTTTTTCTTTCCAAAAACATTATTCGATAATTTAAAACTAAATCACAATTGACATTTATAAAAGTATAATAAATAAAGATAAAAGTTTAACTCATAAATATAAAACTAAACACGATTACATAAAACAAAACATGTCATAAACCTGAAGTACAGTAAACCAAGTAACAATAGCAAAATCCATAAACATCATAATCATAAAATAAGTACGTCAAAATAAAGGCCCATGTCACATAATTAAAAGCAATTTGGAAGATAGAAACATTACAACAAAAAGTTCTTCCATAATGTGTCGATCTTCCGAGTACCTGAATCGGTGCCTATCAACAAATATCTGAAAAGGGGGAAAATAATTTGAAAAGTGAACTAGGGGCTCAGTGTGTCCCAATAGTTCAATAAAAACATAATATGAAATCCATTAAGTAATAGTCCAGGAAAGTATCATGGAAATCCTGGTAAAACATAGGATATTAAATCACATAGTATACCCTCATCCCTTACACCATATGTAGTTCCCCAGAACTGCATCCATAGGGCAACCTTATACCTATTGGGTATAAAGAGACAACCTAAGGGAACATCTTGGGGCCTGAAAGCCTACCCAAGAGTTGCCTTAGGTCCGTAAAGATTGACCAGCTTGATCAAGGTTGTACTCCATACTCTAGCCTACCCAGATAATATCCCCATAAAATAGTTCACATAACAAACAAAGATTTCCATGATTCGTATTCGGTAAAATAATACCGACCAGTGAAAATAATCATTCAAATATCATGCATCATTCCATCATAGTTCATGAACCATCATCCATTGAATAATAAATTTTAGTGAAATATCAACTCATATAAAACCATCGAGTATCACATAGGGAACACGCCTCATAAAATAGGGTACACAGTAAAACTACTAAGCATCGACCTCGTCATGCTTTGCTACAGTGATCGAACCTAATTCATAACAATCAGAGTTAATATCAAAGTAATATTTTAAATCGGGGTATTCAAAAAGTTCACAGTTCATACGAGTGACTATTGGCTCCCTTGGCCTAACGGATCGAGAAGAGCTGGGTCGAGCTAGCGAGCGATCAGTTAAGTCTCTAGTACCTTCAAACAAAAACAATTAATCAGTCTTGAGTCTTACTTTAATTTTTCTGGAATTAAAACATTTAATTTCTTAAGCATATTTGGGTTTGACGGTCAATTTGGAGACTTTCGAGTTAGAATTTGGTAAAACGGACTTCAAAATCGATTTTAGGACATCGAAAAACTTAAAATATGACTTTTCAAAAATTTTGACTTTATCGGTCAAAATCAACGGTCAACAGTCAGACCTGTCAAAGTCAACGGTCTGATCGGTAAATGATCACCAAAGTCAACTGTTTGGTCAAGTCAACGGGTCAGGCAGACGGTGCGTGGGCGGCGACCAGGACCCATTTCACCGGCCGATCATTCCTGGTTCAAAATTAAGCTGATATACATCTAAACCAAACCAATATTACACCAATAATCCAATCTAATTTATCAAAAACCGATTGGTAACTTACCCACGCCGGTGATCGACGACGGTGTGTCACTGGTGAACAAAACTAGTCGGGTTTTAATCGCGCGACACCGGTGAGTGCAATGGAGGTAGCGATGAGGCAAAACAACACCGGACGCGATCGGAATTGGCGAAGAAATGCGGCGGTCGAGGTGGCTTTCGTCGATTTTTCATCGGCTCAACCACGACGAATGACGTTGTTTCTCGATGAAATTGGGGTTGGGTTTTGATCACTGTTCGACGGTGAGCAAGTTGGTGGTTGTGGCTCGGGCTGGGTGGTCGAATGACGGCGTAATTGGCCAGTAAAGTGGTCGTCGGGAGGGCGTTTAATTTGGGGAAAGAAATTAGGGATTTGGGATTTTGGGGGAAATGAGTTTTACCCAATTGGTAATTATATTTTACTGGGTAATAAAATGGCCAAATACCTATTTTAGTCCCTGAACTTTTTCAAAACTTCCTAAAATGATCTGGTAACTTTACCCTTTTACAATCTAGCTCTTAAAATTTACCCAAATTAATCTTTTATTTAATATCTAATTTTTCCTAAAAATTTGGGCTGTGACACTTTGCACTTATTGCCAGCAAAACTTCCCTATTATCCGTTGTTTGTCACCAGACAATGTTCATCTTTCCTTTTTGTATGGTAAATTTAGTTTTGATTTGTCACTGCTATGTTTTTCAGGCAATTCATAATTTTGACTGCCGGAGGTCTTTCACGGAAGCTGCTCTCAACCTGGTGTTGGGGGCCGCCTACCTTATCTCCTCTCACCCATTACATATGGGAATAGGGTTAGCTAATAATTATGTTTTTCAGGCTCCCTTCCTGCTTGCGGCTCTTGCTGTGGTGGCTAATTGCGGCAAATTTGTTGAGCACGCATTGCTGTATCTGATTTTTTTTTTAAATTTATTTAAGAATTCTATAAGATGTATTTAAAAAAGGATGTCAATTATCAATTGATTGCCTGTAAAACATACAACTTTAACACCTATATAAACCCTTTTATTTTAAATTCATACAACCACTATGTCGTTAAGAAACTATGGAAATGATTTTCCGCCTTCTTTATAAAACTGCAATTTCACTTAGAGGAACAATTATAATTAGTGTCCATTACTCTAAACTATAGAGGTGGCTCCATTTTATCTATTGAATTGACAATAAATTATTAACGTTGAAGTTAACCAAATTAATATAATTATATATTTGATTATTATTATATATATATTATTAATTAAAATCAAAGTAATAAAATATACATGTAATAAAAATTAAAATTAAATATATAATTTTATAATTTTATTTAATTATTATTTTTTAACAATTAATAGATAATAATTCGATTATATTATTTATATAATTAAAAAATTTGATTGATAAATTTTAATTTAATAATTAAAATAAAATCACCTTTATAATTTAACAATTATATATATGAATTATCTTTATAATTATAATTAATTATTATAATACGATAATTTTGAATATGAATATTAGAAAGACTTAATTGTCAACTAAAAATATATGACAAGTTATATATATTATAATTATATTTAGAACACTATATAATCTTTAAATTTTAATGAATTTTTAATTTCAAATAATATTAAACCAGTTATTTTATTTTACACATATCTTACATATAAATAATTTTATTTATTTAAAATATAAAGTGCAAAATATTGTTTTTTGAAATAGACTAAATGATTACAACTTATGAAAACATTGTTATTTGAATTCAGATTTTTTAAGAAGAATAATATTTTATTATTTATTTATTTGAAAAATATAAGATAAATACAAAATAGTATTTATTTAAAGATTCTCAACAATTTTACAATTAATACTCATACTCTTAAATAATAAGATCTCTTAATTTGTGCTAGACATATTTATTTCAAATATGCGTAATGGAATGAAAAACTAATTTTTATATATATATAATTGTGTAAAGAAAAATATATATTACATAAAACTAAAAAAATTATTTATACCGAAAACATAAAGAAAACGAAAAGCGGGCAGATTTTGGGGGTAAATGGTGGAATTAAAAAGTGAAAAAGGTAGAAATGGAAATTGGAATCTGAATAAACTTGCTACAAATGCCTTAGAATTTTAACTCTCTTCACGTATTCTTCCCTTTAAATCACTCAGTTCCATAACCCATTCTCAGAGAAATAATAATAATAAACTAGAAGATATGAGTCATTTGCTTTCACCTCTACTGTTGCTACTGCTATTGCTCTCGTCAGGTATAAGACCCGGATTCAGTTTGGTTCATGCAATCTTCTGTTTCCAATTAATTCCTTTTTTATTTGCTTTTTTAGGGCCCAAAATGTATGAATGTGCAAGAGTCTTCACCATAATCAACTACTGCAAGGAAACAGTCTGGCCCGGAATCACCTCCGGCGAAAACTTTCGAATTAAAATCCGGCCAATCCATTGTTTTCCAAGCCCCGGTTGGGTGGACTGGTCGTATATGGGGTCGAATCGGTTGCAAGTTCGACAAGAACGGCAACGGTTCCTGCCAAACCGCCGACTGCAACAACTCCCTTAAATGCAAAGCCTCGAGCTAAACACCTGCATCGCTCGTGGAGTTCACGCTTTCCGCCGTCGATTACTATGACGTCAGCCTCTTCGACGGGTTCAATCTCCCGATATCGATCAAACCGATACACGGCCAAGGGAACTGCAGAACGTACGGTTGCGAATCGGACCCGCGGGAAAGCTGTCCTGGCGAGCTGGCCGTGAAGGGCGGCGGGAATGGGAAAACTATCGGTTGCCGGACTGCCTGCGACGTGTTCAACACGGATCAATATTGCTGCCGAGTGACGTATGGAAACCCTGTGACATGTCAACCTACGTTCTACTCGAAGAAGTTTAAGGAAGCTTGTCCCACTGCTTATAGTTACGCGTATGACGATCCCACTAGTATCTTCACTTGTGCCGGAACTGATTATGTTGTCTCCTTCTGCTCAGCCAGGTTTTTTCTTTAATCGCATAATACAAAAAAGAATCTGCTATCATTTTATTTAAGATAGATGAATAAAAATAGATAGATTGAGATTAATTCATTATTTTTTTCTTAATTAATTTGTTCTTAATTAATTTGTTCTATTTTTTACTGTTAATCTCAATTATTTATTTCAACTTATTTAACAATCATATATATATATATATATAACTAAAAAAAATTACATTGTACAAATTGATCTTATATAATTATGGATTAAATCTAAGTTTTGATTTTAGTTTTCAGGAATCAAACGGTATGTTTATACCATTACCTCAAAGCTTATTTGCAGCAACAAAGCAAATGGCTTACATCAATTAATGGGAAGTTGGTGGTTTGCAATGCCTGCACTATTATTTATTGCTAATCTATGGATTTAGAATGTATTTGATTTGGGATATTCATTATGAATGATCTCTACACGGTTTGATACTCTTTTTTATTAAATTTTTTTATCAGATTACTGAAATTTTAAAGCCCCATTTATGTTGTGTAAAAAATGTCATTATAATCATCGTTAATCGCCTAAAGCCGTTTAGATCGATTAGTCTCTACACGGTTTTATATCAATCGCATTACTGAGTTCAATAGCACTATCTTAGTCCTCTTATCTAAGGTGGATGGTCTGGAACGCATTACTGAGTTCAGACCAATTAGTTTCTGCATGATTCTATATAAAATTGTGACGAAACTCATCGTTAATCGCCTCAAGTCGTTTCTCACACAGTGGATTTCCAAGGGGCAAACAAGTTTTGTCCCTAGACAATATAATCATTGCTCATGAGGTAATTCACTCCATGAAGAAAAATAGTGGAAAGGAGGATTGAATGGCCATTAAAATTGATCTGAGAAGGTTTATGACAGACTCAAATGGTCATTTATTGATGACACTTTATTTGACGTGGGTTACCCAATTGAACTCAGGAGTCTCATGATGAATTGTGTCTCTTCTGCAGACACAAGTTCTTTGGAATGGAGTTCCTTCAGACTCTTTCAAACCTTCTCGTGGGATTAGGCAAGGCGATCCACTTTCGCCCTACCTCTTTGTTTTATGCATGGAATGCCTTCCGCAAGCTATTAATGAAGCAGTGGAGGAGGGGTCTTGGAAACCTATTCGTCTTTCAAGGAATGGTCTGACTGCTTCTCATCTATTTTTGGTTGATGATCTGATACTTTTCGCTAAAGCTTTCTAAAGAATCTTATCTTTTTTTTTGTGACAGCTCTGATCATAAGGTTAGTCATGCAAAAACGAATATTTATTTTTCTTGGAACGTGGCATAGAGCCTTTGCCATGACCTTAGCAGTGGGTTCCAGTTTTCTTGTGTTGATAATTTGGGAAAGTACTTGGGTGTGCCATTGTTATATAATCGTGTGTCTACAGCAACGTACCAATACATTGTCTAGAAGATTCGGGATAGACTAACTGGTTGGAAGGATAAAATTTGTCTTTAACTGGTTGTTTTGTTCTTGTGAAATCTGTGTTAGCTGTTTTACCATCGTATGCCATACAAACGTGTGTGAGGGTGATTTGGGTGTGAAACGACTTCAATCTCAAAACAATGGTTTTTTTAATAAAGATTGTCTTTAGGTAAGTATCGGAAGGGGCAATTGTGGGCAAGGATTTTATGTGCCAAATATAAAATGAATGAGACCATCCCTCTTGTTACCATTCAAAACGGTTGTTCTTGCTTATCGTGGTATTAGTATGGTTTGGAAGGAAATTCGAAATAACATCGTTTGGATTGTGGGAGATAGCGGTACCGTTGACTTTTGGGAGGATGCTTGGCTGGGTGATTTTGGACCTCTTAAGGACCATATTTTAATTGTTGGGAATACTTTGATCGAAGGGGTAAAGATTGACACTATGGTGGATTCAAGTGGAGTTTGGGACTGGTGTAAATTTTAGGATTTACTCCCTTATTTTGTTTTGTTAAGCATATCAGCGGCTAAACCACCCCATCCAACTGGTGGTCCAGATATCCCGGGGTGAAAACGGGACAAACATAGACAATTTTCCATGATGAGTGCCCACACTCGATGCTCTTCTCATGTTGAACATGTTGATAGTTCTATTTGGAGCTTGCTGGACAAATACAAAGGATTACCTCTTATTAAGTCATTGTTATGGCTCATTTGCAAGAATTAATTTCTATCGAATGAGGAAAGTGTGCGACGACATATGGTGAATCAATCGGCTTGTTCTATTTGTGAAGTTAATGTTAAATCTTTTTCTCATATTTTTAAGGATTGTGTGGTTGCCCGTGCAGCTTGAGGACTTTGATTAAGCAAGAAGCGTCTGATAAGTTCAATTGTCTTGAGTTGATAACTTGGATCAAGAAGAATGTTCGCTCTCCTAATTATTTTCCAGTAGTGTCCGTTAATTGGGGATTGCTTTTTGGCTCCATTCTGTGGTGTTTATAGAGGAGGAGGAATAAACTAATTTTCGAACAAGAATTCATACCTATGGACAATGTAATACACGAAAGTTGGCGCATCATCTGGTCGATTGAAATGATGTACGAGTAAAAGGCCCTTAGCTCGAGGGGTTCTAGTACTCGTATAAATAGGAACGTGACATAGAAGCTGCCTTTGAATGATTATTATAAGATGAAATAGATGGCACTAGAAGATCGGATTCCAGAATATCTACTTGTGGGGAGATTATTAGAGACTCAACCGGTTCTTGGATTATGGATTTCACCAAAGTGACTGGGTGTTGTTAGATCCTTGATGCGGAGATCTAGGGACTCTATGAAGGGTTGCGTCTTGCCTGGGATAAGTGTTTGAGAAGGATTATAGTTGCATCAGACAATAAAGTTATTGATGTGATTCCTAGCAGCGAAGAACCGAAAGAATATCCAAGTGAGCCCATTACACGTGCAAGGGACAAGAAGTTCCAAGCAGCCATGGTAAACTTGTTTTTGCCAAGCTTGGAACGTGCAGGAGAAAGACCAACAACAAGGAATGAACACTTCATTTTACTTATGCATGAATTTGCA